TTGAATTTTTTTATTGTTTTAATTTAGTTTAGAGTATAGGAAAGCCTAGATGGATGGATAGATCCTTTCTTGTTCTAAATATTATGTTAAAACAGTTCTAAAAAAAATTCAAAATAGATTCAGTATACATATAAGGCCTGAATAATAACTGCTATAGTGTATTACAGGCTTATGGCTAGTGAGACCAGTATTAAAGTGATTGCAAGATCTTTATAACCAACAACCAAATAAAGGGAAAGAGATCAAGAGATGATTAATTAGTTAAAAGAAAATGAGTAACAAAATACGTAGCTAAACTTACCTTGATGTGTTGAAATAATAAAGTGGAATTTTTGACAGCTTTTGACCCATTTTACAGTTTTCACGTATAATAACAAATCTTATAAATTATGTTTAAATGATGTACCTGTTTAAATTCAATTTAAAGAGATTAGAATTCATTTATGAGCTGTAAAGTTAACATTCATTAAAATTGTATTTTGCACAGTGGAAAGTACTTCTGCAAGATTTTTTTATGGAACTTTGTGTGTGTTTTTCAATTACCTGTACTAGCAGAAATATTGCCCACAGGGTGGCTGTTTGTGCTAGTGATTAGTAATCCTAATATTCATAACTCATTTTCAGAAAAAGTATTTTTTCTGGGAAGTACTGCATGGGAAAAGTGTTCGGATTGTGCTCCTTAGTCATACACAACTCTCTGAATCAAAATGATTCAATGTACAGAGCTCAAAATTATCATAAATGTTACTTATATAAACTGTAAAGTTTTTATATAGTAAAAGTGCTACCTGTTGCGATTTTTTTTTAAGAACTCGAGTTTTTCAGTACTACATTTAAAATGATATCAGTAACGATATAATCCAACCCTCTTGCTTAGTTATTTTTCTAACTGTCTAAATCTTGAATACCCAAAGTGTGAAATTGTTTTATGAATTTTTGTTTGTAGTGCTATTTAATAGATGGCACCACATTTTGTAAGCCTCAATCACCATTTCTGACAGTGACATCTTGTAGTATTTAACAGATGGCACCATTGTATTATTTCGGTCACATAGATAGATGATGGCCATGCCATTGCTCCATTATAGTAAGATTACATCAAAGGTGTATAGGAAATTACTCATCTCCACAAAGCCATGATGAGATAATTATGTAAAAAATATTTTTTTATTATGGATGTATGCACCAATAAATACATGATTGTGCCAAATCTGTCACAAAACAGTATAAAATTATACCAGTCATACAAATTGTATTATTTTTACAAAAAGCATAAAAAGTAATACCACCTTGAATGCATTTTATTTTCTAAAATAAATGGTATAATTTTACATTTTGTTACAGCTTTGCTGGCTTGATCATGTATTTGTTGACACATCCATAAAAGAAATTATTTTAATATATATATATATACACACACACACACACACACACACACACACACACACACACACAAAATATATACTACAGTACGCTATAGTAAGACACAGTAATAACTAACGTACGGTAGGTACGTTACGTTT